TACAGGAAGAAGAATTTAAAACGCAAAAGAACGTCAAGAAACTTTAAGCCTTTTAAAAATCTCTCTCAATAGCAACAAGAAAGCTGTCAATCTCTTCTTGGTCACTTCCAGCAGTGACTCATGATCCCATTAAACTATTGGGAACCTACAGATGTCAGAAAGCTCTTTCTCAAACTTAAACAAAATCCATATTCATGGGGTTTCTAGCCATTTGCTCATGTTTTATCTCCTAGAGGAATACAGCTCATGCTTAGCTGGAATTCCATGCTTTTAAGATTTTTCCCCTCTTCACTTAATGGTAGAAGACAGTTACGTCTTCCTTTCGCCGAACACCAGGCCCAGATGTAACCCAAGAGCGGAGTTCATTCTGCTGTCATGGAACATGCATATTAGCTTTGTGGTCAGTTCGAACCCTCCAGTGATTTTCGTAGGAAATACACAGAGCAGCCAACTCTCTTCCATCCTGTACTTGTATGTGGGTGCCCAAAAAACTGAAAAAAATTATCACATTAGACTTCGTTCTGTTCATTTTGCTCCAGTGTTCAAGACTTTTGCACATACTTGGTGGTGTGTGATGTTTTGTTTGTGTTCTGACAAATAAAGCCTGCCTGGAGATCAGAGGGCAAAGCTAACCACTAGTTAACCATAGAAGGTGGGCAGTGGTGGCACATGCCTTTAATCCCAGCACTCAGCAGATGGAGTCAGGGAGTGATAAGTTGCGGTGTAGAAAGGATATCAGCCTTTTGGACAGAGGAAGTAGACAGAAGGACAGATAGGAGACAGATAGACTGGTGGCTGCTCCCAGTTCTCTAATCTTCCAGGTTTTACCCTGATATCTGGCTCCTGGTTTTATTGATAAGATGATTTAGATTAATGCTTCAACTTGGAGTCTCTTTTGTTCAGAAACACTGATGTTTGGAAACGACCTTCTCTTGTATTACAACTTCGGCCTTTGCTGGTTTCTCTATCTATCTATCTATCTATCTATCTATCTATCTATCTATCTATCTATCTATCTATCTATCCATCCATCCATCCACCTACCTACCTACCTACCTACCTACCTACCTACCTACCATAGTCTTTGCTTCATCCACAGGTAAAAGAATTGAATAGGAAAGTTCTTCAGTGGCCATCCCTGAATATGTATCCCTTGACACATATTCATATTGATACATATTGGGATATCCTTGAGTATCCCAAGGCAGCTCTATGGCAATGCATCCCAATGTGCAATCACCGAGGATGTCAGGAACAGGCCCATTAGTACTAGAGAGTAGCAAGCTGAACATTTAGGGCCCAAGTCAGGGACCTGCACAGGAGTGGGCCCAGACTAGGGACATTTACAAACAGATGTGAGCCAGCAACCTAGGCCAGAGCAGGCCTGAGACAGCAAATTCCACAGAAGCAGGTACAAGGGAGCAACTGCTGAGGGACTGGGCCAGAACCAGCGGTCTCTGCAGGTCCAGGCACAAGTCTAAGACAAGCTAAAGATAAGCACTCTGATGGCAACTAAGATCAACGTATTGCTATTCTCAAAGTCATTTATATGGAGTATATATATCTAAGAGGGCCATGCAGAATGAGGCACAGTGTCTAGGGTTGAGGGACAAATCTCGGGTCCATATTCCCATGGTAGCAGCAATATTGTCATTAGTCTGGCTTCTGGTAGGATTTGGATTTTTTCCTGAACTTCTTCCTACGCACATTCTAAGTTCACTTGTCCTGGTCATGGCACTTTACATGTTAACTTGTGTTCTTTGAACCGATTCCATTTCTGTTCAAACCCAAAGCTCCATGCCCCCACACCCTCATTGCTTACAGGGAATGTCATAACTATTTTCCTAGTGCTGTTTAACTTGCAATTTCTATTTTCTGTCCTAACACTTTCAGAGCAAGACTTCACAACCCTGTTAACACCTATATTCATAGACATTTCTGCATTCCTGCAAGCTGATGACTGTTGTCCCATGGGAGAGCCATTCAATTCTCTTTTCTTTGAATGCCTAGCAGTGATCAGGACTTGGAGGAAATCTTCAAGTTTATGTAAAACACACAATCTTTTCCTAGTGGAAGTGTTCATTATTTTCATCAGAATGTTTATGTATACATAGTCACTCAAGAAAATATTACAGGTTGTGGTCCAAAGGGCCTTGAGCAACAGTTCAGTTCCTTTTATTTTCTTTGCAAGTTCTGTCTCTAATCCATTGTCTACAGGGTTTAGCGTCTACTTTTTGGAAAAAAATTCTCTTACCTCTTTTAACAAGATTTTTTTTAAGAAAGGAATTGTGTAATGTTTTGTATGGATGTGTATCTTACTAGGGTATTTTATCAATATAGAAAAGTAGTTGATCTGACAGTGGGTAAAATCACCTACCGCCAAGCGTTAGGAGCTGATTGGGATCCCACGTGGTGGAAGAAGAGAATCAACCCCTCCAAGTTGTCCTCTTATCTCTCTACTTGATCCCTGTGCCACACCTGCCTCCCATAAGTGAGGAAATAAATGCAATTTTTAAAAAGAAGTTGAGCTAGGAATCTCTCACTACTTCCAGTAACCGATTCCTATAAAGACTGAATGCCAGTATTAAGTTAACTAATACAAAATGTACCTACAACCAGGGTTCCCGGTGCCTATATCCTACAGTCCTACGAAAACTCACCAATGCACACATCTGAGCGTACACGCCTGCCATTTGTAGTATTTACAAACTCCTCTAGTGTAGCTCACACCTGGAGTGGATGGTGTGCTTATATGAGACAGGCATATGAAGCGCAGCAGAATCTCTCGCTGGACTTGGCCTGATGTGCTTTCTCCTTTCTTCTCGTGCTCTCCTGCCTTTCTTGTGGTGGACAACTTCTGCTCCAACTCACAGCCTACAATTCAACCGGGACTGGTGCAAGGCTGTGCCCTGGGGCAGGTGAACATTGGCTATGGTGATTAATTTAGGGCTAAGTGTCTGAGCTCAATGAGGTCAGTACGTGTATTTACAACAGGACATTAGATTTCATGCTGAGGCTTGCAGAGAGAGAGAGAGAGAGAGCTACCATCTCACTCACTCTGTACTACAGTGTTTGAAGAGGGGTGAAAGACAACAAAGAAGTGATCTCTTTTTTGACGTTTTTATAAACACAGTATTTTTATTACTTTTGTGTGTTTCATACATGCATACAATGGATTTTCCTCATGCTCTGCCCTCACTCCTCCCCCTAACTCCTCCCAGGACTACTCCTCACCTCCTTGCAATTCTCTCTCTCTCTCTCTCATAGCCTGCAAGCCTGCAAAGTCCAGTATTAGGGCCCCAGCCACATGACATCATTTTGTCATAATTATCTTATAAATTCTCTCTCCAAATGCAGCTACATTTGAGAATAGGGATTTGGGAGAGATGTAACTCAGGTTTTTTAATTATGATGGCCTTCATTAGTTCCCCTGAAAGCACTGGGCTGCATTTTAAGTCCCTTTACTCTGAGTTCAACCCTAAGAATCCATACAGAAAAGCCTGGTGCTGTAGCAAATGCTTAAGACTCATGGCATAGGTGGGACCCTAAAGCCATTAGCTTAAGCCTAAACAGTGAGATCTTGGCCAATGAGATACCCTGTATCAACACCCGAGATGGATGGCTCCTGTGTACCAGCACTCTAGGCTTGACCTTCTACATGTTCCTGTACATGCATGAACATATATACACAAAGAGATGGATAAGATCATTTACTGGTAGGTTCAAATGGAATGTTCTGTATTCTGGCTGCTTGGCTGACCATTCGCTTAACCTTCTCTCTGAATGCACTCACCTGGACAAGGTTACATACAAGAGCCCAGTCTGCCATTATGCAGCTTGGATGAATTAGTATTTGTCAACGGCCTAGACTGGCTCCTGGCACTGTGTTACTGTGTATGTTGAATAGACCTGAGTTTATTGCTCATATGACTATAAAGATGTAACTACATGCATTTTAGCTGACTTCTCCAAACTTGTTTATTCCTAATGAGTAAAAAGAGCACAATTGCTACAGAGAATGGCACATATTAATTACCTAGAATGGGTCCTGACAGAGTAAACAATAAATAATATGCGAACAAAGGGATAAATTGCAATTAGAGAATGCAGTCCCTCTTTTTCTTTCTTGAAATGTTCACTTTGTACTTGAGTATATCTAATTTTAGATGATTTTACGCATTTGTTAGAATCATCTATTTTTCTCTCCTAAGGAAGCATTAGTTCTCCAGTGCTCAAATTACATGGGAAGGACAGTTGCGCCCAAATGAGGTAGAATGATTTAGACAAGAGTTGATAATAGTATTCTCCATAATTCTTTTTAAAATCTGTTGCTGAAAAAAATAGCAGGCCAAAGTGAAAGTCTAACAGAAACTGTGTAATTAGCAATTATTTAAATGGATTATGTTTCCAAGAAACTTTCGGTAATGGAACAAACAGTAGCCTGCTTGTTAAAATTACACACTTCATGTCGAAAATTAGGGCCAGACAGTATAAAGGAGTGCTCGCTGGCTTGTGTTGCCAAAGCAGAGCCTGATAGAGTCAAGGTTCTTCCTAGCTTTAGGTGAAATTTATATAAATGTAATTCTGCTTCTTGAACTGCTGGCTTGGGAAAGAACCATGATGCTTTGCTGCCAGATTAAAAGTATAAATTAAATCTTAAAGAATAATCTCTAAAATATTAAATCTCCTTTGCTTGGGTCTGTAAGCCTTGGAAGCTAAGACAGAGAAACACACACACACGCACACACATATACGCACACACTCAGAGAGAGAAAGAGAGAGAAGATACATTTAAAGAGAAAGTTAAATAATCTTTTCTCCCATCTTTAGTCTTAGTTTTCTGAAACAATGAATACTACCAGTGTTTTTTTTTTATTTTTTTAAATATAATTTTTTATTGAAAAAAAAATTACAACAACAAAACAACAACCAATTACCAACCCAAAAACCAATTTCCACACCTCAAACCTCTCCCCCTCCCTCTCCAGTCTGAAGGGCAGTCAGGGTTCCCTGCCCTGTGGAAAGTCCAAAGTCCTCCCCGCTCCATCCAGGTCTAGGAAGGTGAACATCCAAACTGGCTAGGCTCACACAAAGCCAGAACATGAAGTAGGATCAAAACCCAGTGGCATTGTCCTTGGCTTCTCAGCAGCCCTCATTGTCTGCCATATTCAGAGAGTCCGGTTTTATCCCATGCTTTTTCAGTCGCAGTCCAGCTGGCCTTGGTGAGCTCACAATAGATCAGCCCCACTGTCTCCGTGGGTGGGTGCACCCCTCGTGGTCCTGACTTCTTTGCTCATATTTTCCCTCCTTCTGCTCCTCCTTGGGACATTGGGAGCTCAGTCCGGTGCTCCAGTGTGGGTCTCTGTCTCTATCTCCATCCATCTCCAGATGAAGGTTCTATGGTGATATGCAAGATATTCATCAGTATGACTATAGGATAGGGTCATTTCAGGTTCTCTGACCTCAGCTGCCCCAGGAACTAACTGGGGACATCGCCCTGGGCACCTGGGAGCCCCTCTAGCACCAAATCTCTTGCCGACCCTAAGATGGCTCCCTTAATTAAGATATGTGCTTCTCTGCTCCCCTATCCAACCTTCCTTTATCCCAAACATCCCGTTTCCCAAGTTCCTCCCAACCTCCCCTTCTCACTTTTCTCTCCCCATCTCCCCTTACCCCCTCCCACCCCACCCCCAAGATCCCATTTTTTTTTTTTTTTTTTTTTTTGCCCGGCAATCTTATCTACTTCCCATAATCAGGAGGATAGCTATATGTTTTTCTTTGGGATCACCTTCTTATTTAGCTTCTTTAGGAGATCAAATTATAGACTCACTGACCTTTATTTATCTCTAGAAACCAATTATGAGTGAGTACATCCCATGTTCATCTTTTTGGATCTACCAGTGTGTTTTTTAATGTGTTATTTATCAACGTATTCACTTGTGTGTGGGAGGTAGTTTTACCTGCTTATATATCTGTGTACAGCGATGTGTGTGCCTACTGCTGGAGAGGGTTAGAGGAGGAGGTCAGCTCCCTGGGACTGGCATTTAACAGAATTTAACAGACAATCAAAAGCTTCCACGTGGGTGCTGGGAGTTGAACCTCGGCCCTCTGGAAGAGTAGTCAGTGCTCTTAAGTGCTGAGCTATTTCTCGAGCCTGTGTTTTTTATTTTTATTTTTTAAAAAATATTGTAACTCTCACCTGCATTTTGCTTTTGCTGAATTTGTTGTCAGTATCTCTTAGCTCCCCTTCACCTTAGAACTGTAACTCACAGGCACTGCATTTCAAAAGAAGCATCATTTTGTAAGTAAAGACAGCAGAATTGTTCCCTGGGACATGGAGGCCACTTCTGGCTTTTATTATGTTTGTTTGGTTATCATAAAGAAGATACCAGTAAGTAAGCTCATGTTACTACATTTCCAAAATGTTAAAATGAGATTTCTTCAGTGTTTAGCTATTGTCGGGTGATTTCAGACTGCTACCACATAACTCAAAGAGATTAGGAGAAATGAATGAGCTGTATGGACAGGAAACTTTGGTGATAACAATAAAAGAATGTATAAATCAAAGATAAGTCGTTTATGTCAAAAAGTGTTCCAATTCACTTCTGCAATATGTGGCTTACTCTACATAACCTTCATAAATCTTTTCTAGACATGTCAAAGGAGACAGAGTGTCCATACTCATCTGAAGGCTTTGGGGGTGTGGACTGACCTGTCTGTGTGTCAACTTGACACAGCTAGAGTTATTAGAGAGGAAGGAGCCACAGTTGAGGAAATGCCTCCATAAGTTCCAGCTCTAAGGCGTTTTCTCAATTAGTGAACAATGAAGAAGGGCCCAGTCTATCGTGGGTGGTGCCATTTCTGGGCTGGGGGTCCTGGGTTCTACAAGAAAGCAGACTGAGCAAGCCAGGGAAACAAACCAGTAAGCAGCACCCCTCCATGGGCTCTGCTTCAGCTCCCGCCTCCAGAATCCTGGCCTGTTTGAGTTCCTGTCCAGATTTCCTTCAGTGATGGACAGCAGCACTGAAGTGTAAGCCAAATAAACCCCCTTTTCCCCTAACCTGCCTTTTGGTGTCTCAATGCAGCAATAGAAACCCTAACTAAGACAGGGTGTTTCTCAAAGTGTGGTCCCTAGAAACACACCAGGAGGGCCTTTTTTTTTTTTTTTTTTTTTTTTTTTACTGTACAGATTCCATCCACCCACCACCCAACAGATTTTCATTCAGTATACTCAGTGGGGCCCAGATCAATTTATTCTTCAGCAAAAATCCCCAGATGATGAAATTCCCTGAGTAAAATCTTCCACCTGTTATTTAGGTCCCAGAGATGAATAGTTGTGAAAATGAAACAAAACAAACAACACCCCCCCAAAAAAACAAAGAGCAGCTTTCCGCTGAGTACAATCAGTGAAAAGGAGAGTGTGTCTCTGTGATATTTTATGAAATTCACATTCCACGGTACTGTGACACAGCTGTGCCCATGTGCGACACCTAGTTTCAGGGTTTCAACATTTCAGGAACAGAGAGAAAGGACGAATACCATCCTTTCTCTCTCTCGTTTAAAGAGTGCACGCACGTGTGTGTGTGTGTGAGAGAGAGAGAGAGAGAGAGAGAGAGAGAGAGAGAGAGAGAGAGAGAGAGAGAAAGAAAGAACCTGAAGGCATCAGTTTTCCTCTTTCCCCGTATGAATTCCAGGTGAGGTTTTTCAAGCAACACCTGGAGCCCCTGAGCCATCTTTCCAGCCTCCACTCTTCCTACTCTTGACGGCACAATAGACACAGAGCTTCTTTTTTGGAGAAAGCAGTTGTGTAATGAGTGTTGATCATGTGTAGTTGGGCTGCAGGGTCCCCTGGATGTGCCAGGGACTCATCTCTACGTTGACTGACATTGTATAAATGAATATACTCTTGATCTCTGCAGTTTGATCCCCAAATATTTATGAACTCAGAAGTTAATTCAAATACTAAAAAGAAAAACTTCCTTTCTTGGCAGAACAACTAAAGACTACAGGCTACTAGGGTTAATCTGTGCTGTAGTATTTTTATTTCTAAGACATCTCAATTCCAAGACCTTTACAGGGGCTCACTAGATGGAGACCTAGAACGAGAATCCTGGGTATCCTGTAAGCGTATGACAATCTTTGCAATCATCTTTGATTGATGAGCGCTCTAAAGTTTCTTTCAGAAGCTGTCTCCCCTGGAAGACAGTTAGGACATCAACAAGGCTAATAACCCCCTCGTGTTTGTTAGAAAACATGCCTGCTTCCTATTATTGCAGACAACCTTGCTGGGACCCACAACACTGAGAAGTGCTTTTTCTTAACTTAAAAGCATATTTTTGTCACTTTTCCAGGAATATCTTGATGATTTTTATTGGAACTATAATCTATTTCCTTATTTAATTTCCAATCATATAAGGCTTGCTTATTGAATATAATGGTTCACGAACATTTACTAGTGGTCCCAGAATAAAGTATCTTTTTAAAAATTGAAAACAACTTGGAGCAAAATACTCCCCCCCAAAAAAAACCAGAAAACAAACAAACAAAAATGCCATTTGTTTATATGAAGTGTAAAACACAATGTTTGGAGTGCCGCAATTCTGAATGATAAATCACTGAAACAAAATATTTTTAAAAAATTAATCATCCTGACAATCTGAAAAAGTATTTAAGTTATTCAGGCATTCTCCTGAAAATCAAACTGAAGAATCTTCAGATCCCATAGGAAGCATTTTTTAATAAGCAATATTTTATATTTTCCATGAACATCAATTTAGAAAAACAGTACTTTGGGTGGAAATTTTAAATCAATCACAATTTATTACTCAAATTTGACATTTATGTGTTCTGGTTGGAGTTCATGGACTCTGCACAGAGTAGGCACTATACTGAATATTTTTAGTTCTTTAATATATAGTGTCATAAATAAGGAAGAAGTTGTCTTTAGAGATCTGCCTGGGAGTCGAGACTGTGAAAAGCATGGCACACTGGCACTCAGAAGCAATTCTCCAAAGGACGCAGCTGCACTAAATGTAGAGATGGAAGCAAAAACAGGATTGTGAATTAAGAATTGTAGATCCGGTTTAAAAGCATTGCACAACTGTGTGCAATGTGGGATTCTCAATTAGATTGTTACACAGGAGAAGACATTATTGGGAAACTAGTGAGACTCAGGGCTTGAGCTAACATTCATATTCCAACAAGGCCTTCTTAGCACTCACAAAGGCATCCAAGGAATGTGAGAAGAAAGAGGAGGACGCTGAGATAAGACATGTGTGGGAATTCTCCTTTTACTACTTTTCTGTCACTCTAAGATCATCCTCAATTTGAAGATATATTTTTTAACATACTTTGTGCCTTTAAAGCATCCGACACAGTAGGGTGAGCTGATAAAATTAACTTGCCATTGTTTTTGCTCATGTATGGATATATGACCATGGTTTACTTATTTAGCTCTTTTCTTCAATTGATAACCCCACAATCAGACTTTAAAAGGACAAAGTGTGGAATGTAAGTTTGCAAACATTCTGTTGATGTTTAAAGTCAGACATACTGGTGTTACGTTGTAGGATATTTGATCACACTGTGAGCCCTGAGATTGCATTATTTACTGGAAAAACCTGTTTCTAGCTGTGATGTGGTACAGCCATAGCACACTCTCAATCCTAGAGCTTTCTATTTGAATATTGTGAGCAGGAATAAATAAAGTCAACCATAGGTCAAGAGGCAGAGCAAACAACCAGTTGACAGGAAGTAAACATAGGCTGATTAAGAAAAAAACAGAGAGACAGAATAGGAGGGATTCAGGAGGATGCAGAAAGAGATGCACAGACATTGAGTTTGAGGAATCTTGTTTGAGATGGCATGGGAGAAGGAGTTTTCTGAGACATCATCTAAGAAGGAGGAAGAAAGCTGAGTCCTTTCTCTGCCTCTCTGAAAGCTAGCAGACTTTCACCCCAGCATCTGACCCCCGAGTCTTTATTGGTAAAATCAAATTGAATGATTGAGATTTTGTTAAAAATAATAGGTCTATGCCTGTGACCCTTAGCACTCAAGATGAGCAAGAGGCTAGAGAGTTTGAGGCCAGCTCATACTGTATCGTGGCAAAGCTGTCTTTAACATTTTTTAATTATTTAAACATTTGGTTTAAAATATTTAGAAATTCAGTCAACGTAGTAACATTCACCCATGATCCTAGAACTGGAAACCTGAGACAATATGATAAGATCAAGGCTAGCCTTAGCTACATAACAAGTCCAAGATATCCTGGGCTCCATAAGAAACTGTGACAAACAAAACTAAACACAAACTAGAAATGTATATGAGCGAGCCAGATGAGGCCAACGGGAGGGCGAGCTGGACTGGGGGCGGGGCCTCTGGGGCGAAGCCAATGGTAGGGAGAGCGGCCTGGGAACNATCACACATATATGTGTCTATGTGTATATACATATATGCACATTCTTCTCCTTAACACTATGTTAAAAAGATACAAGTCTTTCCTTAGTTAGAAGTGGAAAATTTAGAACTTTTGTTCTTATGTGCTTTTATGCCCCTGAGGTGTGTCTTTTAGGATCAGCTATGCCTCATTCCCAGAAACAGATATGTGCCCCTTCTACCTCGACGCCAGCATGAATCCTTAAGTCCAAGTTCTCCCTAATGGAACGCTTTAAAAAGCTGGTGATGGCTTTGTGTGAACATGGATGGAACAGATCCTGCAGTACAGGAAGCCTGAGATGAGTTCATCCACAGATCTCCACTGGGTGTCTACGTGGTCTTGGCCACTTGGAAAGTGAATGCCAGGTACCAGTATTCTATATGACTCCACTCCGGAGACATCGAGAACTTCTTAACTATGGGGAAGTCTGAGAATTAGCAAGTGTAACTTTTTTCCCTTCTTAATTAAAAGGAACAGGGGACATTGGCTTTGAAGATTCCAGAAATTTTGATGTATATACAAAGAGTTGTGCTCATGAATAATACCAGCTGTGGGCTGCAAATTCTTCAGATAGTAGAAAAAAAAAAAAAAAAAAAAACAGGGCTGTGGCCAGGGATTCAGATGTGGGATACTCTTTCCTTGATGGATTCAGTCATTAATTTTTTCCTTTGGATCGTAGCCTTCAGTATTCTTGGCATTGTTCCAGCCTTCATTGTTCTGTGAAGCCATTAAAGGCATGTCAGATTCTAATGTCTTGATACCCTTAATTTGTCACCGTAAAGAACAAAGTAAACCTGAGTCTGCAGGAGCAAATTTAGTGAAACTAAGTAATCAAAACCCAATGTCAAGACCTTGGGGAATAGTTTATCCCCTCTATCCCATCTTCAATCCAATGTGTAATCAGTAATATTAAGCAGTTTGGGTTTACTAAAATAGGCCAATTTATGACACATGAGAGAGTTACTAAACACTACAGGCTGGTGATTTGTAACTTGATGTGGGCTCTAACAAGATCAGGGTTCAAAAATTTAGATTAATGTTAAGTGTTTTGGAACCAATAAAAATTAAGAAAAACCTGCAAAATAAAATAAAAATGCAAGATAGGCTTCAGAATAAATTAGAGGGAGCTAGAGAGATGACTCCGTGGTGGAGAGCATTGGTTGCTCTTCCAGAAGACCTGGGTTCAATTCCCAGCACCCACCTGGCAGCTCACAACTGTTGGTAACTCAAGTTCCAAGGGATACAATTTCTTCACACAGACATGTAGGCCAAACACCAATGCATATAAAAATAAAAATACAAAGAAAATAGAATCTTGAGGCACATTGCCAATATATGGGAAAACCAAGACAGAGTTTTATTTTGCTTTGCCTTGTTGATTATGAGATTTAATAATTAAAAGGAAGTCATGGCTTCAGAAAATAAGATGTCAACGTAAGGTAGTTGTATTAGTATTCGCAATATTTTGCTTAGTGAAGATCTGAATTTGGAGTTTTATTTAAGCAATCTATAGGAAACTATAACAATCTATAGGAAATTTAAATACTCTCATATGGGCAGCAATGAGTATGTTGTACTTCAGGAGTTCAAATCAAACAACTGAATAGCTCTCATGTGGAAATAGTAACTAACGATACAATATCCAAGAAAAATGGAAAAATAGGTGTTAAAACATACACTTAGTTATTGATCTTTATGGTGATAAATATATTTACAACATATTTAAATATATACATAAAACATGCTTCTATGGATGAATTAAATTCCTCACTTCACAAAAAAAAAACTATCACAATGCCAATACTTTGAAAATACATAAAGGCAAGAAATAATTCTTTCAATTTGATAGATTCACAGAAACTCATTGAAAATAAGCATTAGTTCCATTGACATATAAGAAAATTTACCTGGAAATTTAAGTCCTTTTCTGTTTTTTTTTTTTTTTTTGAGAAAATGCTACTTATTTGCAAAGAACTTCTTGAAATAATCTAGCGGCCCCTTAGAGCAAAGCGTGTGGGACACACGAGCAATTAACTAGGGCAGCACCATTGGCAACACCCTCAAACAGTCCTGGAGTGGGTATCGGAGCGGACTGGGAGGTGAAGATTCAAAACGAAGAGTGAGCTTTACAGCCACCCCACCCATAGGAGGCTGCAAGTCTTTAAAATGACAGGCTTTTTGAGGGAATTCTGAAATATTGACTATTTCGAATTAAAATTGTTTGGTTCTGCTCTTCATAAGACTTAAATGACAAAATTGAAAACTGGAGTGTACTCCCTTTTCATGCTTTTGGTGTTTCTGACATGGATGAAATTGTATCTCTCCAAGTAAAACGACTTTGGCCGCCTTCTTCTTTCAGAATGAGTTTATCATTAGGGAAAAGTTTAAAAATCACGGCAGACAAATAATCCCTTAATGCTTTTCCTGGCTAACAAGTAATTCGTCAAAGCAATCCAATTTCTAAATAGCACACAAATCCTGTAAGACAGTGAGCCAATGCATCTGCTCCTTCTGTATTTAGACTGTATATGAACATCTTTTATTTGGTGTTGGGAAAGCCAATCCCGAGGTTGAATTCTTGAGTAAGGTAATTTAGCCCTAGTGACAAAATATTACTGATAATTTTTGTGTGTGCTTTGCAATATTTACATTTATTTATTTATTTTGCGTATGAACGCTTTGCCTGTACATGTGTATGTTCACCATATGCATGCCAGGTGCTGACAGAAGACAGAAGAGGGTGTTAGAACCCCCGAAACTGGAGTAGAGGATGGTTATGAACCAGCATGTGGGTGATAGGAACTGAACTGGGTCTTCTGTAAGAGCAACAAATGCTCTTAACCACTGAGCCATCTTGCCAGACCCACTTGGAAATATTTTTTAAAAATAATCTGTGGCCTAGATTTTTCCTTGTCTTAGGGCCTGTTAAAGAGCCGACATCTTTATTTTTTCTAAAAAATGTGTTCTCACTATATTGCCCTGGTTGGCCTGGAACTCACTATGTAGACCAGTTTGGCCTGAACTCACAGAGATCTACCTGCTTCTGCCTCTCCAGTGCTGAGATAAAAGGTATGTACTAACCTGTCCAGCCGTTTTCAGTTTTTTATTATGATTTTTGTTGTCTAATAAATATTTTTAAAATCAAAGGACATGAAAGATTTTCTCTTGCACTTTCTTCTAGGTCCAGTTTAGTTTCCGTTGGCTATAGCTTAGTTGTGTAAAACACTGCCTGAGAAGAAATACAGAGGTATCCATGGATGGTTACAAAGTCCATGGCACAGAAGCAGTTTGAGCATCAGCATGCCCATCTTCCAGGTTAACTGCTTTGTTTGTCGTACACTCTGGGAAGTACATAAAAATGATTTTAATAATCAAGGTGTTTTTTGCTTTATTGTATTTTAATACATTTAGTAAACAACTACGTGAGACTGAACAAGGGTTCCTGTCAGAATCTGCAGGTGTAAACATGATACACAAGTGAACCTTGACAGGTCATTACTTATGTGAGCCAATGAGTTCTCCTAGAGGTAGAGTGGTACTAGCTCTCATTGCTATGATGAACTACCTGAAGAAAGTTTTTATACAGATAAAAGGTTTATTTTGGCTCACAGTTTTGGAGTCCGTGGGCATGATTTCAATGGCCCCACTGCTTTGAGCTTTTGGTAAACAAAAGTGTTCAGCTCATGGCTGCAAAGCAAGAAACATGAACAGTAAGTCGGGGGTCCATGATCCTCCAAGGGCACACTACCAGGCATCCAGAGAGTTTATGCTTAGCTATACCTCTTACAAGTTCAACCACGTGCTGACAGAATCATAGTGGGTCCCTGCTAACAACATAGGCCTGCGAGGAACAGTCAGCCTGCAAGCTACCATGGAACGTGGCAGATGATGTCCTCACTCCTCGTCATCCACGGTGGGTGATGTGACAGTAGAACCCTAGGAAATGCTTTGCACAGAACTCGAGGTCCATTAGCCCGGAGACTGGGAAGGTATTAAGTAGGATTGGGAGAGACTGATTCACACAGAGGAAACGTGCAAGCATCGATTAACTCTGCCTGAAGAAGCACTGGGCATAGAAAGACCAAAGGAGGAATTTTACACTGCTTTCCCTACCTCTTCTAGAGTTCTCTGGAGAAAAACAATACAAAGCCTCAAGATGTAGACGCCAAAGCACAGTCCTGCTTGATTGGAATACTGCCCCCTCTTCCATTTACCACTCTAATCAGGCATGCAGAAATTTGTTCTCAGCTCTTTCTCCCCAAAAACTGTGTAGAGTTGAAGAGCCCTAAGTCAGAGAAGCCTTTTTTTTTTTTTTTGCAAGGCCCTTCCTTCCTCAGCCTGTGGCTTGAATTCATTGCCCTCACAGCTGTAACTAAGGGTGGTGTACGATTGTACACTCACGGGTACAAGTGGTTGGAAAGCCTAGGTGATTACACGCAGGCCCAATTTCTCCATCAATCACCCACTTGAGAAGAGCCCAGCCAGAGCAGAGGTATCCTTTCCCGCTCCTGATTAAATAAGTCCTGAGTTATATCCAAGCAGAGATGATTAGTGAGATACATTTCTGCTAACAGCGTCATTACAGTGCTTTCGCAAGCCCAGCGGTATCAGTGTCCTCTCAGCCAATTCGTGACTGACTCCTCGCCTCTGCTAAAAGCTATGACAGCCTTCTCTGCCTCCTGTCTGCTGGAGTCCCCTGGACCAGACCTCTGTGACAGGGTCACTGTCCTTTATCCCCATGGAACAAAGCCCAGCTGCCCACTTCTCGTTGTCTTGTGAACTATGCGAGAGCACCAGGAAGTCTTTGGGGCTGAGGGATGTCTCTATTTAGTCCAGGAATTGTAGCCATTGTTTAGGGATCATCAGGGAAACCAAGGGCTTGCCTTTGTGTTTCTGCTTCTAATTGCTCACAGAACATGACAGTTTCTGAGGAGGAGCATGCTACCGCTCCTGTAGCCAGTGAGAAGGCTTGGGAGGGGGGCATTCAACTGTGAATAAAATGGAAACTTACACAATGTCATGACGCGATTTACCTGACATTCTGCTCTTTCGGGGAATGGGTTACGTTTTCATTTCCACAAAGGGTCAAGTATCCTCATGTCTTTCCTTTCTCATGAGGCTCTTCTGAATGCCTTCACTACCAGGCAGAGGACGAAACAAATAACATCGCGTATTTTATGCCTTTCCAGGTCCAACACACAGGTTTTCAAATTAAGTGCACTAAAGTGCACCGCGCAGAGTATTGTGGAGACATAATAAAAACAAAGTGATCCAAATGTGGAGGAAGGATAATAAATATTGAGGACAGCGTAGGAAAGTGTTGACAGCAAGAGAAAGGGACGTTAGCCCTTTTTGGAACAGGATTCAGAGAACAGAATCCAGATGGCGGTAACAATGATTAAAATTTTCTGGGTAATTTGAAAAAATCTCGTCAGATAGGGTGCAGCAAAAGATTATGCTGATGAAGTAGCCAGGGGAAGTCTTGTTGGGGATTTGAATGTCACCCTGAAGACTTTCGCACATTTTTGTCATATGAGGAATCTTGATTTAAAACATCTGCCATGTGTCTATCATCTATCTCTTCATCCATCCATCTATCCGTCTGCATGATATGAACACAGAAGAAGAACTTTGTTGGGGAACGAAGGGACCTGAAGACTCTGAAGGGATGGAAGAGGGAGGAAAAAGACATGTTAAGGGAGAGGTTAGAAAAATATATCATGTTTCCTCTTGTGTAATCTAGACAGACACACACACACACACACATGCAAACACCCACCATGCATGATGCAAAGGCACATTGGGGGTAGCTTTCCTATTACAGGGGAGGAATGGAATCAGTGGAATCTTAGATAATCAGCACAATGATTATCTAAGAATGAAAATGTCATAATTCAACTAATGATTGCGTAAGGTAAAATATTAAAAGCACTATTGGGCCCCCTTCTAAGACATGGGATGTCAGTCAATAGGTAAGATTAGGAGCCAGATGCCAAAGAACACAAAAGAGTCGTTGGGATGCCCAGGATGTAGACACTTAGCATGGGCTTCGAAAGGAGTGGCAGTCAAAAGACATGGAGCAAGCAGAATGAACCAGATTTAATGTTTAATGGAAGAATTCTAGAATGATTTTTGGGTTTGGGTGGAAATGACCTTTCATTGAAAGGAAGAGAGAGAAGGTAGCATTGACAGGAATATTCCATTTTAAACATGCCAATTATAGGACTATTAGTATTTCCTGAGTGAATCCTCATGGGTTAGAAAAAAATATACCTCTTTAGTAAGGACACTAAAGATCCTTATTCTCAAAACTCATTAATGTCTCTGGTTACCTTCACACCAACTGGATTAGTAGACTTCCACACCTGTGTTGCCGCCATGCTGTTTCATGTTTATGTGATGGTTGTGTATAGTATTTACCTATTTAATATTTTGAGATTTCTATATGCAAGAATTCTCTCTTTTTCTCCCTTTGGTTTTTCAAGACAGGGTTTCTCTGTAGCCTTAGAGCCTGTCCTGGAACTAGCTCTTGTAGACCAGGCTGACTTAGAACTCACAAGGATCCATCTGCCTCTGCCTCCTGAGTACTGGGGTTAAAGGCATGCACCACCACTGCCCGGCTGCAAAGAATTCTTAATAACAGATTTCTCCCTTTCCTAGCTCTGTTTCTGCCTAGTTAATAGGAATGAAATAGGTATAAAGAAGTTAGGAAGTCTGACTAATATTACACATCTAATAAGAGACAACATTAAAATTCAAGATATATCAGTTTCATTCTTCTTGAAACTCTCACTTGTAATCATTAGAACCCTCACGCTGTCTCTTCTAGATGATTCTATCTCTTTTTGAAGCAGCTGATTTCCTACTTAACTCCTCATCTACTTAATGTGGCTTCTACTTCTAAAAATATGAGAAGGATCAGTGATGAATTCCGAAGGAGATTTTCCGGTTGGTTTTGGTCTCTCATCTTCCACCAGTTGGTCACTCTGGAGGACTTGGGGAAGTCTTCCTGCTTCACATCTGTGTGTTTCTCAGCCTTCTTGTTATTGTCCTTCTCCATCAGTTCTTCCTGCTTGGGTTCTTCAGCCATCAGAACTCACTCTCTCATTCTCCATTTTCATACCTTTTATGATGCATGCTCGTCTTCCACTAGCTTCAATTTCGATTTCCATATTAATATTTTTTAAATTGGTAAGCAATCATCATTCGTGTGCTACGATCCTTAATGACTAGTAAATCTGAATACCTAAACAGTTTGCTCAAGTCAGCATACCCAAATTACTATGTGGAGGAGAGCTTTAGGACTATTTACATGAATAAGCTAGACACATATGCAGTGCATCAAACTAAGAGCAACAGAGCACAGTAGTAGTTTATAGTAGATTTACTTACCTTCCGGAGGCTGAAAAAAATATACTCAAGAGAAAGTAAAAGATATGAAGGGGAATTCCTGGGAACTTCTCACAGGATTGGGCTTGTACACGGTGGTAGGAAGATTCAAAGTCATGGAGTCCTCTTCTGGAGAGGATGCTATCGGGAACTGGAGAAGGTTCAAAGCCTAATCTGAGTCTCTAAGTTTGATCACCAAGAGGATGTGCAGTGAAGTGAGAGGGAGGACAGAAGAGGAGGAGCAGTCACTCCTGCTGATAAAAGAGGGAATGAGAACAGATTACCAGTGCACCAATTAGATTGTGGACTTTCCGAACAGTTTATTATGTAATTATTTCTCTCTCTCTCTCTCTCTCTCTCTCTCTCTCTCTCTCTCTCTCTCTCTCTCTCTCTCTCTCTCTCTGATGGGACTGAGATTTCTTTGTGTAATCTTGGCTGTTCTGGAGCATGCTCTGTAGACCAGGCTGGCTTTGAACTCAAAAATCTGATTGTCTCTGCCTCCCAAGTGCTAGGATCAAAGGCACGCATCACCACCTCCTAGCTGTAGAATCTTGAAGTTTAATCTAAGTAACTTTGGAATAAAATGATTTTAACTCTCAGTTTTCTAACATAAGATTTAAAGCAAATGTCTATTATGTCACACGGAAATTTAAAATTGATTTACAAGTGATTTCAGTTGCGCATACCTTTTCCTTCACTTTAATAAGATATTTTAATGGTTTGCATTAAGAATAAAGTGCAATATCCTACTCATCTACAAAAGCAGCTCTATCTCGTTGGAAACTCATGAGTTGTATTTATTTAGAGGCAGGACACAGAGCATCATCAATTGGTTATGTTCTCTAACATCACATGTCCAGGGAATCCTTATGTTTCTCATAGTAAAACTGAAAAGGTCAGAAGAACAGCACAGAAAGCATTCAAATAACTAAGGAATAAGACAGCATCTTTAATAGTCAAATGGTTAGATTTTTAGGTCCGAAGCCTTGACTTTGACACTTATTTCTTAATTTTCTATCTTTCTCTACCTATATTTATTTGGAGCAAGTTGCTTGACATCTGTGCGCTTCAACCTCCTCCTGAGCAAAGCAACAGAAATAATATAGACCCTTCCTCTTAGGATCGAAGGATCATAAAAGTTAAAAAATGTAGAGTGTTTAGAGTAGTGCCTATCACAGAGGAAGCACCTAATAAATATCTAACAGGCATTATTCTCATAATTCACCATGCCACTGGAACATTTAAAAGCTTTTATATATTGAGTTGTTGCCAGGGACATTGCAGGGACGGGATGCATGTATGCAACAGAAATCTACCATTGGAGTCACCTCTGAAATTGTTTAAACAGCTTGGGTCATCTGAGAAGATTCTTCAGAGAGAGTGGTTCATGGAATCATGCTAACATATAATACGCTTCTGTGGTGATTGGAAGGGGTAGCATCAGTTAGAATAAGACCTTCAAAACTGTCAATAAAAATGGCATGTGCTGCTTGCCGGGAAGAGCTTATACAACACTGTAGGGCTGCATATGAGGGCTCTGTAAAACCTGTAACCAAAGTGGCCACATTTTTCTTTTGCTGTCCTGGTGGCCATTTTTGACATCTATTAGTTTATACAAGTGAGCAAGGCAATTTTTTTTTCATTATGCTGTTTAACAAAAAACAAACAAACAAACAAACAAACAAAAAGCTGCGGAGAAACCCTGTCTCGAAAATCAAAAAAAAAAAAAAAGATGTTTATTATGCTGTTTAAATTAGGCTTCTGAATCTTTCATAATTTCACTTGAACTCTATACCCTTTGCATATTCTAGTTTAGAAGTAGTTTCTTTGGGATGGAGAAAACAGTTTACAGTATCTTAAGTTATGGGCTTTTTTTAAGCTATATTGAGCACATAGAAAGCAACATACATATGTCTGGCAAAGTGGCCATTAGTGTACAGTAGGGAAGGTATTTGAAATAATTTTCTGGGCACATTTATGTAGAAGACTTTAGTATGTAAATTGTTGCTTCTCAAACCATTAACAGATCAGTTCTTTATATTTCCTGATATTTTATGCACAAATATCTAGATAGGATGCTATGAAAGGTTTGAAGTTCATAAGATGTTTGTGGATCTTGTTTTCAACCATCAGTGCCTTCATAAGATGAGCAGAACCAATAAATAAGTTTCAATTTCAAAGGCTATTTTTGGATGGGGAGAGAGGAGCACCTACTTAATAATATACAAAAAATGTAACTCATGGGAATAGATCTGCTGGGTGCCCAAATGGCAGAAAAAAAAATAATTCTTTAGGTTAAAAGGTACTCACAACAGTCTTAGATAGTGACAAGAAGTTTAAAGCAACCTACTTCAAGTCTAAAAATAAAACATTGGCTAAGGAGAATATATTTCATTAGGATGAACCTTATGAAGTCATTAAAACTGTAATCACAGCAGCAGTATAAAGCCAAATAAATGCTTGCTACACATGTTAAATGAAAGACTCAGAAAATGGGCAATGGAATGGCTCAGTGGGTAAAGGTACTTGCCACCACCCAGAAGATGCAAGTCTGTCGACTTGAGTTTGATTCCTGGAACACCAACTCAAAAATGTTGTCCCTTCACCTCATGTGAATAGCAGCTCACTGCCAGGACACCCCCAGATAATAGAGAAATTTAAAGATTAAGACTACAAACAAAACAATATGTTCAGTGCTAAGGCAAATATAAATAATGCATACCTAAAAACAAATACAAGTATTTATTTGCTCCATAGTAAGAACAGTAAGTAATTTAAATGTAATTTTTGCCTTTTTTTAAATGAAGAGAGATATATGCAGTTTTAAATGCCATAACCATTTTAGTCAAGAGCTAATTTCCTTGTTAGTTTTTCATAGACTTGTAAAAATGCCACCTCATATGTCAAGGTAATTTGATCTTTGTCTCTCAATTTTCTTAATAAATTCTGTAACAATTTCAATGCCAACTGTTGGCTACAGTTATGAGTATGAAAAGACAAACAGTGCTGGGAGCTGATTTGAGTGGCTGCCATTACAAGATGGCATTTGGCCCCAGCCTCGCTTGATACCATAATAAAGGTTGCAGTTCTTCCAAAAGAAAACAGGATGAGTTATTGTGATCTAGCTGCCCACACTTCCCCTGACCGGCAGGGGAACTTACTTGTGGTCTGTAATTGACAGGGATGTTCCCCTGCTTTCTTTCCTGCAGTGGGTCTCCAGAAAAGCAGTTAAAGTATCAAAGGTTGCTAGGCAGACTCCCTATATAAGCAGCTACAGCTCAGCGCTCTGGGCCCCTTGCTTTCTGCTCTCCCTTCAACCAAGAGGCTCCAATAAAGCGTGATTTGAGAAGAATCCTCATCTGGTGGCTGTTCTTTCCTGCTGGTCAGGGAGTTCGCCGCAAAACAGGAAAAGCCCAGCAGGTGATGTGTAGAGTTCAGCAAAGATATAAACACCTAATAATAAATTATGTTTTCCAAGTTGCAATACTTACTTTTTAGAAATTAGACAGTAACTACATACCATTATCATGATTTATTCCCAAATCTTAGTTCCTTTATAGTAAAAAGATATAGCCACAGTCAATGAGGGGCAGTGGTTATAAAATACAATTCTAAATCCAAAATTCATTAACTATGTTGAGCAATGTTTGCTAAGCGTATCAGTTGAAGGTAAATGGTCGCTAGCTAACTCTGGCCATTTTTGTATCTGTTCTCTGATAGTGCCTAACAAGAGGGAAGGATGAGTGTTGAGCCCATGAGGTTAGCAAGCTTTCTAGATTTGGAACACACAGATACTATGGAGTCAGGTAGAACTCTTTGTGTTGAGCATAAAGCTTTCTCAGAGAACTACTTTAAGTCTGTGTTTCTCAGAGATTGAACACATGGGGGGCGTCTCCTTTAAATGGTGATTCTGATTGAGTAGACTCTGAGGTAAGGCTTCTGATTCCACATTTTCAATAAGGCAATACAGACTAGTAATGATACCTAGGGAACACAGCATTTAACTCCAAAGTCGAGGTCAGAGTATGTAACGTTGAAGTTGAGGTTATAGCATGAACACTCAAGTTGAGGTCATAGCATTAAACAGTAAAATTGAGGTCATAGCATAGAACACTGAGTGAAGTTGAGGTCATAGCATGTAGCACTAAAGGTGAGGTCATAGCATGGAACACTGAAGTTGTGGTTGTAATATGTAACACTGAAGTTGAGGTCATAGCATGTAGCACTAAAGGTGAGGTCATAGTATGTATCACTGAATTTGAGGTCATAGCATGGAACACTGAATTTGAGGTCACAACATGGAACACTGAAGTTGAGGTCATACTGAGTTCTGTTTTGAAAACTGCCTTGGGCTTTTCAAATTTCATTTACAAATAGATCGCTTCACAAAATCTCTCAGTCTTTTGATGACCCTTGAGTATATATGTAAAGCCTGAAAGCATTTAGTTTTTAATAATTACCAATACTGTTAGGTTTAGTTTTAGTAATTATTTTAAGAATTCTTTTAAAATTAATGTTGGACAAGAAGTTTCTTTGTTTTCATAATCTTCCACAGTAAGTTACAATTAACACAGTTGTTAGTAGTCAATTCATTCAAAAGTAGCCTCAGGCTAAAACTTTTATCTTTAAGTTGTAAAGTTCTAATAATAACTTATATACTTTGAGTTAATAAAAGCCAAACATGGAATGTGTTACTCACTGTAAAATTAAAATGCTGTATTTGGAATCAATGGGATTTATATCCCCGTAATCATATTTTTAAGATCATAAACACTAACCTAAAAGATTACAAGTGTATTTCTTATAATAACCAATTTCAATGGAAAACACATTTCTATGATTTTTGTCTCTCTGTTTTGGAAAACTATATTCTTTACTTATTTGGCCTAGCAAGGTTTAGACATTAGGAAAATTTTTTTAAAAAGGGAAGAAAACAAAAGGGAAGTCTACCACACACAGATAGCTATTGGACATTCAAATCATACTTTCCAGATGAATAAAATCCTTAGAGTGAATGGGGAATTGATGAAACATTTTAAAATATTTAAAATATTATTGCATCCTTCCTGGATGGAAACCAGTGACTCGATGTTAAGAATCCACATCCTGAGTACACATTATAAAAGTCAATTGTTCTGGGGGCTGACAGATGAAGATAAGTGTGGAAGCAGATATCACAGTGCCCAGCTCAGAGATGGGAAACAGTCTGCTGGAGTTTAATATTTGTCACGTGATCTTTGAAAGGCTGTAGTGA